AGAGAGAGAGAGAGAGAGAGAGAGAGAAGGCGTCGAAGAATAATGGACTCGGGTCCGCGCGATGCAAAGCGAGGAGGAACCAGGCTTCGGACGATGACTAACGTAAGAACAAATTGCCCACGCACTCGGACCTACTAACATTCCTTTAGTCTTCCTTCTCCTCCTCTTTCCCGATCAGACTGCGATCCGGCTCTCGAAATACCTCCTCGTGAAGGAGGAAATGGCCGGTAAAATAACGGCCATTGGAAGAGGACGGAGAAACGAAGGATAGAAGGAAAGAGGAACACGCGTGGAAAGGAAAAAAGGAAGAGATGTCTGCTGCACCTTCTTCTTATCGTCTTCCTCTTCCACTCTTTCTTTCCGAAGTCTTGTTTTACCTTCTCTCTTTCTCTTTCTCTATCTCTCTCTTATTATGGAACGGTCGGTCGACACGGCGCGTCTCGTCCTAAGGCACTTGAGGCCATTCCGCGGCGCAGAGTAGAAAGAGAGAGAGAGAGAGAGAGAGCTTCGACATTCCTCTCGCCGGTCATTTTATTTTAGCGCCACCGTGTGGGAGAGAGCCCTTTTATCTCTCTCTTTCTCTCTCTTTCTCTGCCGTTCTCCGCTCGCTCGTTTCACAGGGCCCTGTGTGCCATCTTTCTCCTTGTCCCACGCACCACCGCGCCTCTCTTTGGATTTTGCGCGCCTCGGCAGCCTTTTCCCTCTTTCTCCCTCTCTCGCCCGTGGATGGACGACGACGCTGCCGGTGTGTGCTCCTCGCACGCTACCCGATGGTGGCCATGTTGCGGACCACGGAGGGGGTGCAAAAGGTACGTCGTGGGAACTGTACCACGCAACCGTCTCGGACCCAACTAAATTTTAACCGCTTCTGCCTCTTTATTTTCTTCTCTTAATTCTCTTTCATTAATCGATTTAATTTCCTTATTTTTTTTTTCCCCAGAGAAACAACGCACTGTTCACCGGTGGAAAGGAAAAGTCATACATACATACCGTGATCCAAAACGACATGTATCTAAAGAATTCAAAGTGTTCTATAAACGTATCGATATAATATACAAAAATTTTATTATTTCTCGTATATATGCGTAAGCTAATTACAATTTGTAACGATAGTTTAATTTATAAACGTAGTTAAGATAATTGTAACGTATACGAATACGTTATACATATCTTAACGTAACTTAATATTCAAATCATAACTCTTCTACTACTATGTAGTTGTGTCAGCAAGATTGTCAACAAAGATTTCTTTCCACCAATGAACAGTAAATGCGCATAAGCGAGGCGTAAAATCGTGTTTGATTTTTGCAATTGGCAAGTTGTATCGAAGTTGTTGGTCCGATACGGAATTGACCTACGCCCTGCCATACCGTATATCGCGAGATGCGAGATACGTGTATCGCGCACACTTGGATATAATGTACGCGCGTTATACGGTGACGTTAGACAATTAGAGTGGATTCACACACGTCCACGTTGCGTCCGGTCCACATTTCTTGCTCGGCGAGGCGCACGCGCAAGGGGAATTCGCTGGATAGCGCGAATAAGAATAGAATAAACGGTCACGTTCGAAACTTGTGAAACGGGAGGGGGGAAGATTTTAGAGAATAAATCGAGCATTAAGGTCGAGGGTAATGCCGCGTGTCTAATGTAACTACGTTCTTCCTCTTCGCGAATCTTGTTTGGAAAATGTCAAAGGTATATAAAGTTCGAAGAATAAAGTTGATTGAATAGGCATACTATCCGATAAAAAAGAATGGCGAAAAGAGAGAATTATAATTATTACCGAAATGATCCGTGGTCTCTTAACGGTAGAGACTACTTGATCGCGATTATTATTGAGTTAATTAATTATCCATTATCGTAGCCCGACGAAAATCTAATTTCC